CTCGTACAACATGGAATTCATATAAAACGAAATTATCAACAGTGTTATAGGGGGGGAATCGACTGTATTCTTTAATAATATGTCCTTGCGCTGTGATGTTGTAATGAATTTTTATTTTTACACCACCATTTCACGTGCAAAATTTGGCTATTGTTGCGCGTCGACTGTAATGTGCGTTAATTTTTTTTTTCAAAAGAAAATTGTACTGTACAGTACATTACATTGATACTGTATTTTACTTAGATAAAAACATTTGTTTTATGTTATATCAAATTCGTCTAACTTACGTTTTGAAGTATTTTATTTCCGTATCTGTAAATAAATTTGATTCAAATTATCGCCAATATAACAATTTTAAGATTGAAGCTAATTGTTTACAGGAACATTTCATTTTTATGATTGTATCTAATTTTCTGTCAAAATATTTTCATAATTGCTTCTTACGTAGATATATTTATTCTTTTATATACACTTTACTTGTTTAATAAAATTTCTAAGAATTCTAAGACGTATTTCTCTAATATATATTAAGCAAACAATTCTTGAATTTTAATTGAATCATAGAAACTTTAGATAATATATTAAAATCTAATTTATATAAATATAAATTGCAATTATTATTTAGTAAATATGCATTATACTTATGAATTTTTTGCATTCTTTATGTAGAACTAGGACTTATAGACACTAAGTCATAACTTGCTGTTTTCAGTGCTTGAATATCCTCTAATTATAAAAACAATATTTACTGATTTTTTTTTCTTTTAATTTTGTTTTAATTTACTGCAAAATTATTTTTTTAAGCTTAAAAACTATTTATAGAAATTTATAGTAAACGTTTTTAGTTTTTTTTTTTAAATCAAGATATATTTAGATTTTTATTTAAAATATATTTAGTTATTAATACAGTAGAACCTGTGTAAACTGGACTCGCACGGTACAGAATATTTTTCCCGTTTAGACAGGTTTCTGTTTTATTAAGGTTCCGTTTTGAACAGATTTTACTGAAGATATTTTTTTTTTATATACACATAAATATATAATGTAAATAATTTAAATGCATAGTAATTTTTGAAACTTTTCTAGTTAAAAAAAAACATTACAGAATACTAACGAATTACCGGTGTAATTCGTTAGTTACTTTCGAGCTCGTCCGTCTCACTTGGGTACAGTTGTTTACCAGTTAGAAGACAATGGGGAAGAAGAGGAAAAGAAGTTATAACGAAAATGTTACAATGAAGTGAAGATTGCAGAAATTTTGTTTATCTCGCGACTGGCATAAAAGGCAGTGGGTTATAAATATATCCGCATATGCAGGTTGTATCAGGGGGAAAGCTAAAAGTTCGTTATTACGAGATTCTACTAAAACAATTGTTTTTCGATTCATAAAATTTTATATTACGGTATTTCCCTATTTCAACTCTGTATTATCCTAAAATACAGTACACGTTTCCCTTTTATGCAGGCGCGAGCAAGCGAGAATATGTGGCGAGAAGAGGTGAGATGCGATAAATATCAAAACCTGTCAGATATGTGCGAGAACCAGAAATTCGCTCTCGCCAGCGTTATTTCTCGCTTCGCGTTTGTGCATGTTTTCCTTTGCGAAAACTAAATCGCTCGCAACCTCTCGCTCGCTGTAAATTCGCGTCTGCATAGTCGCACCCTTACTCTCTATTCTTAAGTAAAGAATAAGATAAACAACACAATTAAGAGGCATAAATGGCCGTCCTTGTGTGAGAATTTAGAGCGAGCGAGAGGTTGCGAGCGATTTAGTTTTCGCAAAGGAAAACCATGCACAAACGAGAAGCGAGAAATAACGCTGGCGAGAGCGAATTTCTGGTTCTCGCACATATCTGACAGGTTTTGATATTTATCGCTTCTCGCCACATATTCTCGCCACATATTCTCGCTCGCTTGGAAAATTCGCTCGCTCGCGTCTGCGTAGTCGCACCCTAAGATGGCACCGGGGGACGTCAGTCTGAGGGGTACAGAGATCGGCTTCTTTTGGTCATGAAATAATTAAGTTATTTTTACTTATAAGATATAAGTAACATATGCAACACCTTTGTTTTATATGGGACATGTGGACTTAATTTATATGCATTTAATTAGCTAAATATGATCAACAAACAAGTTAAACTGAGAGTTTGTTTTAGTGTTAACATTTTTGAAAGTCCCTTAAGTTCCTTATAATGAGACTAAAAATTTATATACATTGAATAAGTCAATAAGACGAAAAAGATGGCTTTTTAGCATTATTTTTGAAAATTTTCAAAAGGAATTTGTGTGTCCTCATTCAGTAAAATGAAAGTTATCCCTATTGTCGCCATTTTCTGAAAATTAACACTGTGTATTTCCATTTTCTACTTTCTCTCTACTCTACTTATACACCAAATATAAATATTCTTTATTGTATTTAAATTAGCCAGCGTTGATTCATATCGTAGTAATATTAAAGTTTAAAAATGATGTAAGAGATAAAAATAATTAAAAAGAAAGTATGATTTTTGAGTATAGCCTACTCAAATTATCTGCCTTTTATCTATCCAATTTACACTATAGAAAATAAATTACAGTGAAGAAATTCTAGTTAACTTTACATGAAATGCACACTACCTGTAATGATTAAAAGCTTTTGACATTTCTTATTGATTTCTACTTTACAAAACATGTAAATTATAACAAAACTCTCATTTTATTAAAAATAAAAAGTATATATAAAAACTCATGGTGTTAATTTATAATTATCTGACAGGGATGAATAATAGGGAACTATTGAACTAAATTTAATACTCATTTAATTGGAATTTCATATAGTAAAACCTGTATAAATCGGAATCGCACTGTACCGAATAAAGGTTTCCATTTTGAACAGGTTTTTTTTTTTTTTTTAACTCAGAAAATCGCTCCGTTTAGGCAAGTTTCCGTTTTACTCAGTTGACGTTTTGGACAGGTTTTACTGTATTTAATTTAAATTTAAATGAATAATATCATTGAATACAGTCAATGTTCACAAAAAATGTTCAATAATTAAATATCTGCATGTTTTCAAGGCAGTTTTCTTTCGTTCACGTATATAAGGTTTTTTGTAATACAGTAAAACCTCTCCAAAACGGAACCCGGATAAAACGGAAAAAATGTTCGGTATCGTGCGATTCTGGTTTACACAGGTTTTACTGTAATTTTTAAAATAATAGAAAAAAAAATTAAGCGTAGAAAAAAAAATTAGTAAAAATCGTTAAACGTAAAGGTGGACCTCAATATTGAGGTAAAATATTAATCGAAGTGCTTTCTAACGACCCCGATTTAGAATAGAATTCCACAAAATCTTGGCAAAATACTCCGATTAAATTTTACTTGGAAAAAAGATTCACATATATTGACGAGCAATACTTTTTATTTATTATATCAGATAATTCAAAAATAGAATTAGATTTTAAATAAATGCGGTATGAGTCTAATTATTTTATGCTTTCATCGTTAAAATAACTAATACATGAGTGTTATATGTATCATAATTATGATCATAAAGTAAAACTTGTGTATGCCGGAATCTCACTGTACCGAATTTTATTATTCTGGTTTGGCAGTTTCAGTTCTGAACAGGTGTTTTTAAAAATAGGAAACCCTTCCGTTCCGAAGAATTTTCCCCCTTTAGGCATTTGGTAAAAATCCAGGCCGAATATACAATTAAAAGATGATTTTTTTTATGCTCTTCTCCGTTTCAATATGCAAAATTTGGTTTAATAAAAGTTCCTCATGCTATGGCACAATGTAAAAATTCGTTTCTTCTGTTATACAGACTTTTTTAATTGTATAAAATTACGTTAAAAGGCATTTATGGAAAATATTGTTTACTGTTTAAAAATTTTTTACTAAATGGAAGTGTTACTAAAATATTAAATTACAGTAAAACCTATTTCAAAACGGAAATCTCCCAAACCGTTTACTGTATTTGATTTCCGATTTTTCTTTAAAAAATCTGAGTTAAAGGTTTATTAAAAGATCAAATTTAGTTCGACAGAGGTAATTATTGAAATTTAATGGAGTCGAAATAATGATTTAAAAAGAAAACAAAAATTAATAAGGAAATAGATTATTACTTTTCATAAAATAAATTTTTTACATTCTGTTTCCAAAGAAAAGCAATAAAAATCTTAATGAAAATTTCCAATGGTCTTTATAGTTGCTAAATATTTTTAGTAGATAATGAAGCAATAAATATTTTGTTCACAATAAAATTTCCTTGTAATTGTTATAGTTAGTTAAATTAGTGTCTAGCCATTATTAGGATAACTCGAACAGTTTTATACTTGTTATACCAATTTTATAATCGAACATAGTTTACTGTAGTATTTTCATAAAAAGCTTTGATAAAAATCTCATATTCAAAGAATGAAAAAGAAAAAAAAAAGCTGGCAAGGGCTCTTGCACGACTTTCCTGGCACTCGAACAAGAGGAAGGGAACCAGGAAAGCTTCATTTTTTGGGGTAAGAGCGAGTTTTTAAAAATTTGAAATTGCTAATATTTAATAAACTAAACAATTCGAGTAAAATTTTCGTTAAGTCTAATCCCACCCTCCCTCTCGACTAAAAAATTTCCAAAATGTAGTAGCATTACTGTCCCATATTTCAACCGAATTTTAAGACTTAGTCCGAGATGTAAAGCAGAATATAGGCCAACATACACAACAGAATTTTGTATTTTTTTTTTAATCAGGAGACCTTAAAACGTCTAGAAATTTACAATACTTTCCTCCTGTTCTATAACAACTGGAAAAGTAAAAATTCACACAAAAAAATCTAAATAAATCATTTATGGAAATTTGTATTCATTTCATTAATAGCAATAACAATAGAATAAAATTTATGATTAATAAAAAAAACCCTTATTAATACTAATATAATTAGACAATTTATGATACTATTAATTTATATATAGTAGTGGATTGTTGATATGAAATTTTAAACGATAATAAATTATATATTATTTTTTTTTAGGTTACAATATGGGACGAGAAATCTGAAGCTTCCAAACTTGCAGTTCTTCCTTCTACAAATGGCACCAGCAAACAGTCGAAAGGACTTTGGTTTACTGTATTCGTAACGAGCGTATCTAAAACATGGTCGGTACGGAGATCGTACGAAAATTTTCAAATGTTAGATCGTCAACTTCATCACTGCGTTTACGACAGAAAATACAGTCAGTTGACAGAGTTGCCATCAGAAGATTCCTTCGACGAGATCGAATGTAAAGAAGTGAGTGAAGATATTTCATTTTTTTCTGAAGATAAGTTTAAAATAATTCTATAAATTCAATTTTTTTGTATGTTAATTAATTTATTTTTTAAATCATTTTTACTAAATTACAGCATTATTTTCAGTAATATTACTAGATTTTTGTTAACATGTCCGATTGAAAAAAAAGGCATTGTAAATAATAATCTTTCGCTTTTATTATCGTTTTTTTCCCTTGTAACAGTAGCAGAGGGGGAAAACTATTTAAAATTTATATTAATTTGCATAAGAAGAAAATACCTTTTTTTATGCAACGGTAATTTTTTCGAACATAAATCATGTAGGGCTTTGTGTTTCCACCTCGCGTGACAGACAATTTATCTTAAGTGTACCCAAATATTCGGTACTGAATGGGGGCAGGTATATATAAAAAAGAAAAAAAAATGCGATTTGAGTTAATTAGACTGCGTAAGCCAGATGTTTTGGCACGTGACTTAGGGAGAAGTGATGGAGGAAGCGCGGGAGTAGCGGGAGCCATTTAAGATGCTGACTCATGAAAGCTAAGAGTAGTTGAGTCAGACAGCGTGGGCTCCCTTCATTCACAATGTCCTGTTGTTGTTCCAGTTCGGGATTCAGATTCTTCTCTCTCGTTAACGGCATGCACAAAGGTTTTCAAGGTACGTTTTATTTACCGTTCTGTCTTTTGTCTGGTTGTCTACGTTGGCATCTTAGTCACGTGACTGACCCCATAAACTTTCCTAAAGTAAAGGTATATTTTATATGATTTTATAATATATAATTTAATACGGGGATGATTGTTTATCGGAAGAAGAAAATCGATTTTTTTTTATTGTATTAATCGACGAGTTCCCCGAAAACAACATTCGCGTGCCATAATGACGTCATAGGATGTATTGTACGAAATGAAATTTTAAGCTTCATTAATCGTATGATTCTATTATTTAAAATGGCTTCTAATAACTATTTTTCTTCTCTTTGTTCGTTAACGTAGTGTAATAGTAATAATACTGTATAAGGTGGGAATTGACATCATCACAGAATTTAAAATACGTGACGCAAAGTCACGTGATAACCCACATATAATGCCGCATTGAAATGAAAGTATTTCTCCGTAAGTTGATTTTTAAGGTAAATGTTTAAACTAAGAGAAATAAGATATACAAAAATTCGATATACGAAAATCGCTTCGCTTTCTTTTTTTTTTTTTTCCATTTTAAAGGTCAGTAGAAAAGAATAAAAGCCGACTATAATAACAATCGGTCTTTTCTGGCACGTGCCTCGATGTACGTGTGTGACGCAATCTATGAGTCACTGTCACGTGAATGGGAGATCGATGTGTCTGGCATTATTATTATTATTTGATGGTTATTTTCGAATTTATTAATGAAAAATACGGACATATGGCTGTGTGCCAGGATATGCTAATGATTGTAATTTTATAGGGAGGAGATGCATCTGTACAAATGCAGATTCTGTAATCCTAGTTAACAAAACGTGTTACAAGATATGTTACACGGTATATACAGTTGCACAAGTTTCAGTGGCATTTTATGGTTTATATAAACTCCATATTAAACTTACACACATTCTTAATTATACGACAATATATTTCCTACACTATAAAGTACGAAATTTAAAAAAAGAATGACATTTTATATAAATTTATGTAGCTTTAATTCCTACTTTATCTAATGTACACTTTAATAAACTATAAACTGTCATTTTCAATGACCATTTTGTGATTACATCAAGATATAATAGATATTTAGAAACAGTAGAGTATTACAAAGATAATTAATGCAAATAAGATTGTTAAACAAGATAACAAGTAATTAGATTAAGGATTTAAGGATTATTAAGTTGCGTAAATGAAAAGAAAAAAAAATATTCCTTGAAAAATTAGAAGTTTGTTTTATCTCAAAATAAGCAATGAATTGATAGGAAGAAACAACAACAAAAAAAAAAGATCTTACTAAGTTGTAATAGATGAATATGTTGTTTAATATACAAACTTATACAGAGAAATTTTCTATATAGAACAAATTCTTGATTCATACACTGCTCTCAGCCAAAAATATAAGTAAAACTGCTTCTAAATAACAAATTATATAGAAGAAAGTTATATAAAAGTTTGACTGTGTATAATATTAATCAAGTCAAAAATATTTCATTATGTAACTTTAAAACTGTTTGTTAGGGATTAAATAATATGAAATGTGTTTAATTTTATATTGTATTATATCAAAATAAAATAACTTTTCTTTTCAATATCAATTGCCCATTAATTCAGTTTATTAATTTTAGTTCCATATTCCATGTTATTATTATAAAGTCAAACAAAATGAAAAATTTGTCATGTATTCTGCCTTAATTTATTATATGTTTATGGTATATTTTTATTTAAATTTGATTTGTTGCATTGACAGAACAAATATTTATTTATGAAATTTATACTTTCGGAAGATTAAAATACATTATCCAACATTCTAAATTTTATTATAAAGTTTCCAGTTAGTCATTCATTTTCAAATATTTAATAATTACAATTTAATACTTAAATATTATATTAATTTAATAACAAAATATTTTACAATTTAATTAAATTCTCAAGGATACAGGCAGATTAAAATTTCCAAGTTTTATTTTACCTTTAAAGTATATTTTTAAGCTATTTTCATTTTGTTTTATCATTAATATTAATACAAAGTATAGTCAGTTCCATATTTATGTTTTTAATATAATACTGTAGTTCATTTTTCTGCATTTATTATAAAATAAAGTTTTGTTTTTATTTTTAGTACACTTAAATATAAAAGATAGTAGAATTCTTTAAAAATTTAATTTATATATGTTTAGAAAGTGTAAAATCTGTAAACAGAACAGTTTGTCAGCATTTTGTTACATAGATTCATTTCAATTTCTTTGTATATCGGACTTCCAATATGTCAATGCAAGATTACTATCAAATAAATAAATCTTGTTTTTGTGAAAGAATTCTTGGATTTCATATATTTTAATAAATTTGTGTGCAGTTTATTTCTATAAGGAATTTTCTAAGAATACAGATCGATAACGTTATATCTTATATCATCTGATTGATGATTTTTTTTTTCTCTCCTTTCCAAATTTAGGAACTTTTTATTTTAATTTTCAATTCAAAAAGTCAATATTTATTTTGAAAAATAGTAATATTTAATGTATTAATGCTGTAGTTTTATTTTTGACATTTAACAATACTTGTCAGTTCAGTTGACATGATAAAATTTTAAATTTTTTCTGTAGCTGTCATTCAAATTATTCAGATAAATTTTCTTTCATCTTATAAAATATAATGGTTAAAATTAAGTTATAAAGTCACTATTACAAAATTTGATACTTTGATAATGTTTATTATAATATTTGAATGATGATTAAAATATTTTAAACTATTCAAACCAAATTTTAAATTAAAAAATTCTTGAGAATGTGTAACCTGATGATTTGAAATATCAATTTTGTTTATCAAATGTATTGCTAGGAGATAAGTTGATTCTTCTTCATTGTTTTAAACAATCAGTTTGGAACTAATAAGATTGAATAATATTTTTTAAAATATATTTTTAAAAGAAATTTATTGGGAATGTCTTTTATGCATTTGAAACTCTATAGTTATTTCACATTTTCTTGTCTTATTTTCTGGATGTAAAAAAATAAGTAAAACATTTGTTCATTATTTTATTTTCTTAACAATAGTTCTGATGCTAGTTTATTTCAGTGACTGCTTATTGTTATTAAACTTATTAAAAAATTGCAAACTCCTTCAACTAACTTTGAAGGAGTTTGTGATAGTTTTTGATGATGATTCTGTAGCACAACTTTTAGGATTTAAATTATTAGCATAATAGAATTTATTGAATTTAAAATGGAAAAATATATTTGAGCTATGAAATTAATAATTTATAAGTCAACTGTAATATTGTTACATTATTTAACTAATTTAATAATATGCTTTTATTTAATAATTATCTTTTTTGTTATTTGTCATTGTGAGAAAGATGACTAATTGGATTTTTCTTCCTTTATTAGGAAATTTGTGTAATTTTTCTTAATCAGTTTTATGTACAGTCGACCCCCTATAACACTGTTGATTTTTCTGTTTTATATGAATTCCATGTTGTACGAGTCACTTAGATTTTACAAATATGTGAGCCGTTCACAGCCCAGCACACGTATTTGTAAAATCTAAGTGACTCGTACAACATGGAATTCATATAAAACGGAAAAATCAACAGTGTTATAGGGGGTCGACTGTATATATATATATCAATAAATGTAAATGTTATACATTTTAAATTGTTTTATTGATTATTGCTAAATTTAAAATTTAATTTTATTCATTTTCTATATGATTCTCTCTGTATAATTCACAAAATTTGGCACCATAGTTCAACAAATATTAACCAAACTGCTTATTAAGGTTACCAAACATATACTTTTTAATTAAAAGTGTTTTCAACTTTGAACAATTTCATTTAAGAATAGTTTTAAATTTAAAGAACAGCTTATAAAATGGAACATAGAACAAGCTTTTGAAATAAGAACAACAAATAATTTAGGATTACATTCTAGAATAACAAGCTTTGAACTAAAAGAACAAAAATATTTAAATGAAGTTTTAGAATATAACTCAGTTTTACATAATAAGTTTTTCAAATTTTAACATTCAAATAAAATTGCAAAATTATTTAAGATTTCTTATGCAATAATATTTTAAAGATTAAAAATAATACTGTAAACTAAGATTTAATATTGTATTTATTTATATTTAAGTTAAAAAAAATTGATACTTGTAAGAATTTTAAAATTATTTACATATTAAATTTATTCTATTTCCCTTAACATTCTGCCAACAAATTTATTTACATCTAGTTTGTATAAAACTGGCTTCCAGCTATCCTGAATAACTATAGACTCTTTGATATTAATGATATTGATGTTTTTAGATAGTGTAAATGCATATATTAATGTTTTTTTTTTATGAGTTGAAGAAAAGCTATTGTTTTCTGGTGAATGCAATATATGTAATGGTTATGTACTTTGTAACAGCTGGATTAACAAATATTTGAGAATAAAATATTTAAAAATTACATATAATCTTTTTGTATATGTTTTTTAACTTTATTTTTATAGAGTTAGAATTAAGATATTAGTTTTGGTAATTTCATTAGTAACTTCAAATTGCGGAGTAATTTATGTCATATTCTATCTAATATTTTTGTTTAAAATAAGAAAACGTATGTTATAGAACATTGTCTTTAGCCAATTGCTTAGTTAAATGTAAATCTGAAGGCAATTTTCTTGTTTTGAAAATTTTTGATAGAATTCTATTTTAGCGAGTCATATAAAGAATTTAATTTTGTAAATTCCATTGAAACTTAAATCTAAATAGAATATTACTGTTGATATCCATAAATATTTAATGAAAATTTACCGTACTAATAGACATTATATCCACAGATAGTTTGTAACGAAAATTTTTTTTTGTGAATTTCCAAGATAAGTGTATATATAATAAATAGTCAACTGAAAATCACAAATAATTTTATAAATATTAACACTGAGTATAATAATTTTAATGAATTTATATAGAATAAAATCTTTTTGTAGTAGTAATTTTTTTTCTGTTTTCTATGAAGTGAAAGAAATAAAAATCAATATTTTTATATTTCAGTAGTATTAAATTAGTTCTTTTTAAATAATTTACTGTACTTGAAAGAATTTAATTTAAATTATTTGAAGCATTTAAGGTATCTTGCTTATTTTAATAAGTTAATCTTATACTGTATTTCACTTTTAAACATGATTTAATTTAATACTTACCTTTAAAAATATTCAATATAGAAAATTTACAAGGTAAATATAAATTTAGTATATCTAAAAATAACATAAAATAGTAATAAAATAATTTTATTTATTCCATATAATATCAATAAATATACTGTGTTAATTTTAATTATTCAATAAAAAAAATGTAATTTTAATTATTACAGTTTTTATAATTTAGCATGGTTAATTAGTTAGTTTTTTTGTTTTTCTGTATTCTTATTCAATATTTTATTTTAATTTTTTATAGTTGGAAAAGGTCTTATTTTATAAATATTTTTAATACAGTATTTTAGAAAATTTAATTACAGTATATGAACTTAATATAAATGGACTTTAAAACTTATATTAATTAATTGACTTAATTTAATAAAATTAATAAATTTATTTTTGATAATAAATATTAGAGTTAATGAAGAAAAACCATGAATTAAATTGTTATCAAAGGAAGAATATTTATATATATATTTCTTATTGACATAAAAAAAAGTATTTGCTTCAGTAAAATATTTACATAATCTATGATTTAAGATGATCTGATTACTATTTATATGTAAGTATACTATTTTACAGAGACTAAGAGTGAAAAGGTAATAGGTTACTTCAGTTTACTTTTTATATAGTTCAGTTTTTACATGAAAAGTTCATGTTTTTCTGAGTGTCAATATTTAATTTAGTTTCTAATTCATGTTAACTTATTTTGATAGTTTAAATGTTTTACTTGACATATATTTTTAAAATCAAAAATTTTAAATAGTTTATTAATTAAAAACTTATAGTTCACTTTGTTTAATGTTTGTTAATACTAAATAAAAAAATGTGTTTGAAAATCTTTATAGTAAAACTAAATTTAAAAGTTTTTAATTTGTTAGTTTCGATTTAATATGAATATCATTAGTTATAAATTCAAAGATATTTCTTCATGGAAAAAATTATTTATGTAGAATTATTGTTTTAAGTATTTTGTAAAAGTTTTAATATATTATCAATAGTTAATTTAAGATATTAAAGGTTGTAGAATGATATATTATTCAATAAACTTCAATTATTTACAATATTCCATGTAATATATTTAAAAACATTAAGTGAAAATTTGTTAGATTTTTTTTCAATCTCTGTTTCTATATACACAGTATATAATTATCATATCATAGTATATCATGTTTAAACTATTTGAAATATAACAATAAGATTTGTCGTATAATAATCAGTAACACTTCGAGTTTTTATGGTTAAAAAATTTTCGATGTGGCTTTTGCCTATCGTGCAACACACTCCCGTTAAATTCTAGTTCTTGCCACACTTTTCCCAAATTGATTATATTTATATAATTAGGTGAAGTCTGTTTTTGTATTATTAGTAATTAGTTTTGAATATTAAGAAATGTGTGCAGTTTATGAAAGATGGGAATACTTAATTTAAGAATAGGAAGAAAATCTTTGAATTTAGAAATTCTTTATTTGTGTCAATTCTTTGATTTTGCTTTTTCAAATTTTTGAATTGTTTTTAAAAATATTAAATAATGAAACAATTATTTATCAAAACAGGAATATGTGCGGACATTACTTGCAGAGTATTTGGAAAGATTTTCTCAACTTGCTGGTAACCTCATTAATTGTGGTCCTGTTCTTAATTGGCTTGAGGTAAGTTAATAAAAATAGTATTATTAAAATTATGAGGTTAATTTAATATATGATTTAAATCATTTTTCAAAAGTTCAAAGGGGGAAAAATACAAAAAATAAATTAAAATAACATTTTTATAGCTTCTCTTCTGTGAAAGAGTTAATGCTTAGAAAAAAGAATNTCTACAAAATTACTTTCAGTAATTAACATTTTAAGAATTAATGGCAGTATAAACAATTACAATTAATTAAATAGAAAAGACTATTCTTAACATAGTTTATATATTTAATTTCTTATACATATCATTGAACTGCACATGAATATTTGTATTTACATTCTGATTTTGACTTGATTCAAGATTCAAATAGCTAATTTACAGGGATTGATGCATTATCATTTTTGTTTCCCATAATTAACAAAGCTCTTTTCGTTGACTAGTATGTAAATTTGGTATGACATTAGTGATTAAGAAAATCAATATCTGCTTTAACACATTTTCCTGTAACTAGATCCAAGGCACTAACTTTGATTTCTGTATCACCAAAAGTCACCCTCATTTGAATTTCTCTTCTGTGAGGCATATTGGTTAAATATTTGCTGTCATTCAAATCTAAGACAAGAGTTCCACATCTCTGAACACCTGGATCTGTAATAAAATGCACGTCATCTCTCTCACTGCTGTAAATATGAATAACACTACAAGTCTGTCCTGCTTTGGCTGGAGTGTAACTGCGCGTAACAACATCACCAAGACCCACAGACTGGTCAGTCACCACAAATTTATCAAATATATCTGCACACCATTCTATACCATCTTTAACAATAAGTTTCTCTGGAGGATGAATTCCATGTATGAAACGATTAAGAACTCCAACTCCATATGTCATACGCAATCTTCTAACATTAACAATAGTTGGATCTAGGCCAAATATAACTGCTCCTCTTAGAATAGCTAAGCTCACTCCCTGGGGAATTATCACTTTGACAAAGGGAGAAAATGTATCTCTTACTTCTTTTTGTAAAATCTGAGATTCTGCAAATCCACCGACAAGGAAAAGGTAATTGATATTATTAACATCAGGACTGTTAAGTACATTAGCAATGTGTTCTTTAATATGTTCTAATGTAGGTTGAAAAAGTTGCATCATAGCAGGTGGTTCCACACGCAGCATCCCTTGCGAAGACCATTTTACATGTTTGTGATTATAACGTTTGATGGTATTTTCTACCTGTAAATATATTAAATTTCAAAATTAATTAAGATATCAAAATTATAAGTTTTATATGAAAAAATGCACGTCAAACTTTCAAAAATTTTATATTCTATTTGGTTTTGAGGAAAATGCAACTAATTATAAGATAATGGCAAAAGGTGTAAATGAACAAAAGAAATCTTATAATCCAATGATAATTCACTTATTCAAAACATTTAAATGTTACAAATTATGTCTAATGTTTGGATTATAAGAAAATGAGTGAATAATATTCCATACTCATAAAATCAGGCTTTGATCATCATCATAGTTTATTTATGCCAACATATGTAACTACAGAATAAGAGAACTTTTCTAGAGATAAAAAGCAGATATGAATGATATTTTCACATCTATTAATATATTTATATAATGAATGCACTTGTCTAGACCAACAAATCAACAAAAATTTACTTAAATGTTTTATCTACTGGCTTTTTTGTAAAGCCTCTTCCCAACTAAGAGTTTGATGTAAAATGGTTTCCTTAATATGATTATATTTATGAAAATTCAAGTTCAAATTCTGAACTCAAATTCAAACTTTGTATGTAAACATTAAACACTTCTCTTGAACAATCAATAAATTGTTTCTTACAGTTATATTTTAGGCAATTATTTGCCTGTATTATCTATTTTAAAAAGCCAACAGGAAATGTTTAAAAAATGTTATATTCATAATTAGCTAACATATTTTTTATAAATTAAGGATGTTTTTTTTTTTGGTTAAAAAGAATCCTCAAATCTAATTTTTTTTTACATTTAAAAACAAATACTGTATCTATATTTCCTTTGCATAATTTATGTAAAATGCTAAAATAATAATTGACCTTCAATCAGTTTTTATATTGTACAAACAAGTATTACTTTGTATAAATTAAAAGAAAAGGCTTTTAAGTATAATTTTTACATGCTATCATCATTCAAATGTATTTTCATTAAGATGGAAAAACTAATTTGCATAGAGATTGCTCATTAAAGTAGAATTAAATGAAACTACAGGTTCAACAGTGGCTACAAGTCTATTTTGTCTTGGGCCACACAGAGAATATTTTGACTACAAATTGAAAGAACATGCATTCAATGCAATGTTATCTTTAAATCCAGACTTAAGAGATGATTTCTCTCTCATAATGCTCCAAAAACAAATTATGCTAAGGCAGAATTGAGAAACTAAGACCAGAACAACTAACAGAAACAGAAATTAATATAGGTTCTGAATATGGAGAAAAATTAAAATTAATCAGTATGTTCCTCTCTATTCTGACAAAGTATCTCTAAATGCTAGGTAGCCACTTGTCACTTAACTTCCAAGCAAGCAAGCCAATGAATGACACATTTAATTTCATATTAAATGAACTGTGCCATTGGCTTGCTTGCTTAGCAGCTTGTCTTCTAGACTATCCTTTGTGACCACTACAAATTTTTAGATTTCATTGTTATTGGCAATCACTTAAAATTTCAAGATCATGTCCAACTGACTGCTGACAAAAAATAATCTGTTAATTGCAAAGTTGCTATTATTAAAAAGTGTATTCACTCACAGTGGTTCCTTTACATCTCTTGTAATAATCGATGAAAGAAAACGGTAATGAGATATTAAGCGGATTGGCTTTGAAAGGGCTCGCGTTTCTTTTCCTGGCTTCAAAAGCAATCATTAAATCAACAAATCCTGCAGGTCGTTTAGTCTTGAACTGATCTATGAAGTCGCTTCCGAAAATACTCCTCAGTAAATTTTCGAATTCCATATCTACTCCTACGGAACCATAGGGGCCACCCGTTGCCTTATGAAGTTCTCTTAAAGTACCCTGTTTATCAAGTAATTCGTGAACTGTAATATCAACGGTTCCTCCTCCACAATCGACCACCATGTACTTTGTACCTGAAAAATAATTTTATATTTCAAATGAATAAAAATTTACTTTAAGAAGTGAAAATATTCTAAAATTTAATTATTTTTTTATTATTCTTTGAATTAGATATTATTATATCATATTTTGAGATTAAACACATTAAGAAATTGCCGTATTTTCGTACATATAATTTGCAGTAGCATTTAACCTTCAGAAAATTGATAAAACCTTTGTATAACCCTCTCCATTGTATACCCCTCGCGTATGGACCAACGACTGCTCCATAGGCACGAGTTGGTAATTAAAATCAACAGATTCCGCATCAGCATCCCATTGCACAACCCTCATCCCCTTTCAACTTGTCTTGCACAGCAGACTGCCAGATGTCTGAAGCAATTAAGGCATCAAGTTTATTGCTCTGGGAAATTGGAATCGAGTCCGGAAAAGCAAGTCCAGGAATTTTTCATAGGCAATGTCGAACTTAATCTTTCACCACTTGGCTACACCCATTGTGATCCCGGCCGATGATTAATGATGACTATTCTTTGATAAGATTATTTGTAATAAGTTTACCTTTGTTGTTCAGCTTAGTTAATTCTTGACCAATCTCTTTTGATTGAGTCCCATCGTTGGCACATTGACGTTGGTTATAAGGAATTTCTGGCACCAGTTGATGCATTCGCATTCGACGACAATATATAGATGCAGCCTCCGGTTCTAATGCTATTAATAGTTGATCCGGATATTCGGAAGTAGCAATACCTGCCTGTAAATATTGAACACTTTGAAATTAGAAAATAATTATTTATCGTCCGTTCTTATTAATTTGTCATCACGATAAGTTGTATTCGTTTCTCTTACAATACAATTAAAATTTAAGAGTTTACAAAGCAATTTGAAAAAGATAATATAGGAATACAACGTACTTCGTATGCAGCAGCTCTCATGAATTGTTTGGCTGGTTGTCTCCAAATTGCTGGAACGGTGACGACCCAACGAACATCATCATTAGTTATTCTTGTGGCAGATTGATCACTGAGTTCTTGAAGAGCGTGTTCTCTGAAGTACCTGAGTGCATGAGCAAAAACAGTCACCGCTGCAAGAGCTTTTCCATTCGATGCTTTTATTTCGGTATCTAAAGTTAAATGCTGAAAGAATTGAATTTTTATTTAAATATATTTAAAGAATAAAAATATTTTCTTACAAAAAAAAAGTGTTATAAAATCTTGAGAATAATTTTGAACTGAAATTGAAAAAATAATGAAATTAAAGTGGGAACCTGCCACTCAGGGAGATCTGCCATTGGAATCCAGACGTGTCGATAAACCCCCGGAATTTACAGAGGGTGATCCGTCCGGATATGTAGCGCCCATCTTTTACCATTCCTGCCCTATTGTGGGCCTGACCGAACTGATAATGGATGTGCTTAAAAGGCCCTTTTAGTGCTCACAAGGTGGAAAGAGTTTAAAAAAAACCGTTTCTAGTAGCAAGTTCTGAAATAAGGATAAATGATGATGATCATCCTTGTGTGTTGCTCTGAAAATATCATATTTTGCAGTGAATCTAAACTAAAAGTATATATTATTTTGAATTAAACTCAAAAGAGACAAGTTCCTTCAAATGTATCCTTAATCGTTTTGACTTTAAATATAAAAAAAAGACGTTAAATTACACACAAATAACAAACAATGCTGGTTTACAAGAAGCCATTCAACTTGTTAATGTCGTGATGAGAAAAAAAATCCAAATGATCTCACCTTATCATAAGAACAATTTTGATAGCAAAAAAATCAACGAAAGAAGGATTCAATGCCGAGTTATACTTTTAATGGCATCTATTAGGAAGGTGCTATATCGAGATTTGACTGTATAACGATTATTAATATTCAAAATATAAATTAATCCGTAAAACTTACTTCATTATGGTGTAAAGCCATCTTAAATTTTTCGAAATACAGCCATTTTTTCGCTTCCTGTGGATCCAAATCATGATAATAATCTCGTGCAGAATACCCAAATGAATGAAATTTCTTGTCTGGCGTTAATAATAAAGTCGTAGGAGTTTTTTGATTTATAACTCCAGGATCACCTCCTAGTTTAATAATAATAACTTATTAAAATTAATTGAAATCACTGAATTAACGAAGTTCACTGGGATGCTAAATTGATAAATTCTACAAACCTTCCCATTTCTTCATCATGTGAATATTATCAGGATCACGTACAAAGCTAAATGCATAACCGCTGTATGTGGTGCCAAAATCAATGGCCACAACTACGAAATGTCCAGGGTGATGGGAACTGTTGCCCGAATCTACAGAACATGGACTTGTCCTCTGAACGATAGAAGTTTCAGTCTTATCTTCCAATTTATTATTCTTTTCTTTCTTTCCATTTACTTCTACTTGCTTCTTAGGAACTAAATAATAATATTTTAATTAAAATTAATTTTTTTTTAAGAATCAAGTCATTCATCTGACGATCAACTAATGTTTAATGGTTTTATCCACTTCGGACAATAGTATAATAAGATGTAACATCATAGAAATTTTTGTCAACACTCTTTGCTTATATATTAATTTACTTTTTTTGTTAAGAAAATGAAATTACCAAAATTGAAAAATTCTTTAATGAAAAAAATGCTTGAACCAACTTTAGCTTGACAATAGAGGGAATCGATTGATTGTTGCTGATGAAGCTGCTATAAATACACCAGCTGTTGCTGCAGCTTATGTTGTTAAAAGATATTCTGCACAGGCAAATGATGAAATATCATTTGAAGTAAGTCCAAATTTTTAATTGAATATAACATATTTGCATTTTAAACTGTGCTTATTTTTTATATATTTTAATTATAAACAAAAACTGTTTATTATTTTGAATTGATTTTATTTACAAATACATATACATAATATTCGGAAATAAATATTTGCATTTACAGGTAGGCGATATGGTATCTGTTATAGATATGCCACCTCCCGAAGAATCCACTTGGTGGAGAGGAAAGAAAGGTTTTGAGGTATGATAAATTTTTAAAATTAAAATTCTCATGATTAATGACTACATAATTAAAAACAAAAATATTTTAGGTTGGATTTTTTCCATGTGAATGTGTTGAAGTTATTGGAAATAAACTACCCCAAACCATCAAAACTCCAAAAGTCCCTACAAAGCCAGGTATTATGACTCATAAGTATGAAAATTTATTAATTTTCATACTCATTATAATTTGGAAATTTATTTATTTTAAAAAGATGTTGATTAGTTTTATTTCATATTAGTGTTTCAGTCTTTTGTGAATTATATGCATCAGATATTTCATTTTTTTTCTCAGTTTGTCCTCTACTTTTTTAATTTTTGTTTTCCTTCAACAGTTAATTTATTTGGATTATGTGGATGGATGTTTTGAAATTATAAAATATTAAGAAAAAAAATAGGTGATGTACTTTTTTAATCATAAAATATTTTAACATTTGAAAGTTTTTGATTCATTTTTAAGGTNATTGACATAAAAAAAAGTATTTGCTTCAGTAAAATATTTACATAATCTATGATTTAAGATGATCTGATTACTATTTATATGTAAGTATACTATTTTACAGAGACTAAGAGTGAAAAGGTAATAGGTTACTTCAGTTTACTTTTTATATAGTTCAGTTTTTACATGAAAAGTTCATGTTTTTCTGAGTGTCAATATTTAATTTAGTTTCTAATTCATGTTAACTTATTTTGATAGTTTAAATGTTTTACTTGACATATATTTTTAAAATCAAAAATTTTAAATAGTTTATTAATTAAAAACTTATAGTTCACTTTGTTTAATGTTTGTTAATACTAAATAAAAAAATGTGTTTGAAAATCTTTATAGTAAAACTAAATTTAAAAGTTTTTAATTTGTTAGTTTCGATTTAATATGAATATCATTAGTTATAAATTCAAAGATATTTCTTCATGGAAAAAATTATTTATGTAGAATTATTGTTTTAAGTATTTTGTAAAAGTTTTAATATATTATCAATAGTTAATTTAAGATATTAAAGGTTGTAGAATGATATATTATTCAATAAACTTCAATTATTTACAATATTCCATGTAATATATTTAAAAACATTAAGTGAAAATTTGTTAGATTTTTTTTCAATCTCTGTTTCTATATACACAGTATATAGTTATCATATCATAGTATATCATGTTTAAACTATTTGAAATATAACAATAAGATTTGTCGTATAATAATCAGTAACACTTCGAGTTTTTATGGTTAAAAAATTTTCGATGTGGCTTTTGCCTATCGTGCAACACACTCCCGTTAAATTCTAGTTCTTGCCACACTTTTCCCAAATTGATGATTCTTCTTCATTGTTTTAAACAATCAGTTTGGAACTAATAAGATTGAATAATATTTTTTAAAATATATTTTTAAAAGAAATTTATTGGGAATGTCTTTTATGCATTTGAAACTCTATAGTTATTTCACATTTTCTTGTCTTATTTTCTGGATGTAAAAAAATAAGTAAAACATTTGTTCATTATTTTATTTTCTTAACAATAGTTCTGATGCTAGTTTATTTCAGTGACTGCTTATTGTTATTAAACTTATTAAAAAATTGCAAACTCCTTCAACTAACTTTGAAGGAGTTTGTGATAGTTTTTGATGATGATTCTGTAGCACAACTTTTAGGATTTAAATTATTAGCATAATAGAATTTATTGAATTTAAAATGGAAAAATATATTTGAGCTATGAAATTAATAATTTATAAGTCAACTGTAATATTGTTACATTATTTAACTAATTTAATAATATGCTTTTATTTAATAATTATCTTTTTTGTTATTTGTCANGAAAAATACAAAAAATAAATTAAAATAACAATTTTATAGCTTCTCTTCTGTGAAAGAGTTAATGCTTAGAAAAAAGAATAAATTATTTTTTAAATGAAGGTACAGAATCAGTAACATGTATGATTCCAACAAGAGAAACTTTCCAACCTATATACAAAATAAGTGATGTATATTTGTTTCTGAGAAAAACAAAAATGAAGTTCATTTTTGTGTCTGACCCCTTCCAAGTGCCAAAGATTAGCCTCAAAATTCATGACATATATATAGGCTTCTAGTCTTAAATGACCTGAGATCATTTGATGTCATTTTGAGTCATCAAATGAGATAAAAGCACATTACAGAAGACATTGTAAGTGGTTGCAAAAAAAGGCTTACAAGAATGCTTCCAGAAGCTATGTGAGCACTGGAAAGTGTATTGTTGTCCAAGGGTTTGAAGGTGGTTGTGTGCTGATGTTTTAAAGTATTTCTGGCAAGGAACTATAAGTCAAGTCCCCAAACTTATGGATTGTACCATGTGTAAGATTTTCAATAATATTCAGTTTAATTTTATGTAGTTTTTACATTGAAATATTTACTAATAATTATATAACATGTATTTGAATTTTACCAGTTAAGGAAATTGTATAACATGTGATGCTGGTATTATTCAACTTTTCCATTATAAAATTCCTTTGTTCAGTTAATGATTCATTGTAATTTTGTAGTTTGAATTCCAGAACTGCATTAAAATGACAGTTAATATGTTGTTAATATCAATTGGCATTCATAATAAATACTTAAAAATTCAGACCATAAAATATTGATCCTTGACATGAACAGATAACACTGTGGAAAATTATAATATAGAAAAGTGTGTACAATCTAATCATCATCAAATTAAATACATACTTTCTGCATTTAAATACACATTTTATGAAGGTAATGTTTCCATTATAACAACTATAATAAAAATTACTCCAAATCAGTAAAAAATCAATCACCTAAAATACATTGAAACTTGAAGAAATTACATTTCTTAATATTTTTTAAACTGTTTTGAACCATGGATGCTACAGATGTAGTAACAATTGTGATTTATTTTTACATCACCACCCTAGCAGCTGGAAAGATATGCCCTACTTGTAAATAAATGTATGCTGTACTTATTTTCTTTTTATTACAAAAAAAATACATCAAATATGTCTTGAAACATTATTTCTTTTGTGTACAGGTTGGAAAGTTTCCTCTGTAAGAAAATTACAGAAACACTGTATAAAGTATAGGACTAAACATTTATTAACAGATGAAACAGTGGTTTTTTTGGGGGAATCATGGAACATTTCAGAGAGGCTACAGAAAAAATTGAAGGATTGAGGCCACTGGAGCTGTTTAGGGATCATGCTAATTTGCAAAGTAGTATATAAAAATTTATTTTCTATTTTATACAAATTAATTGTCACATTAGAAAAGTCCTGATTAAAATTCAATAACAAGGAAAACATAATTGGTAAAGGAAAATTTGTATGATGAAATGAAAATAAAGTACTGAGATCTACTAGAAATGAAGTTCTGAATGGATGATAGATCCATTTGGAGTAAATATAGCTAATGTGGATTTGGGACTACAAGAATGTCTTGTGATCTGTAGAGCAATTCAGCACTTCAAGCAAGATTAGGAACAATTGAGTCAGTTTCTGGATTAGTGAGGACATTTTTAAAAATTTCCTTGGCTTTGGAAACAAATTTTTATAACTTTTTCAAGTTCCTATTTGGTTGAATCTTGTTTTAGTAGTTACTCATCTGATATCAAATGCATGAAACAGTTTGGACATTGGACATAATTGAAGATCTCCCATGTTCTTAATGTTTAATGAATTTCAGGCAAATATATAAAATCTTGTTTCTTGTCATCAGCCATAAGTATCATACTAAAAGTCTTAATTAACTTAAAACTAAGACTTTTTTCATTTTTAAACAGTTATCTACAGTGGGTGATTGGTTAACGAACATAATTTGTTCCAAGACCATGTTTACTATCCAAATTGTTCGTTAACCGATTATCAATTTAACATAGATTTTTGTGGAAATTTGATTAATTCATTCTGGAGAACCAAAAAAATAAATAAACATAGTAAGAAAGCATACAAGTTTTTATTTACATGTAATAACAAACTAAAAGCAAGCTCTCCATTTCTTTATGGATGGCACATCTTTGTTTCTCAGATGCAATTTTTGTTACTCTTTTATCTGCTTGAGTCTTTTTGATTATATCTTTCTTAGCTAAGAGTGTGCCTACTGTAGACCTGTTCAAGCCATACTGCCTAGCAACATCAGACATCATCTGCTCACTCTCTACCTTGGCTGTTATCTCTTGCTTGGTTTCTATGGTGAGCACTGTTATTGACACTCCACTCTTTTTAAGCCTCATAATATTATTAGTTTTTTAAATAAAATGTTTAGAAAAGCACTTACAAAAATTCAGAGAATAGAAATTAACCGATCACCCACTGTATTTTAAAATTTAATTTAATAACATGAAATACATTTTTTACAAACTTAGGAAATATGTGGAAGTTTTTCTTAGTTTATAATAATCTTTTGGATTATTTTTAGCTTTTTGTTCTAAGTTCTATAAAATCATTTTTTTTTAAATTTTAAATGAAGAAAATTTCCTCAAGAAATTTACTTGTTCACTTAAATAACATTTTTGATTCCATTATCTTCTATTTCTAAATGTCATTTCCAAGTTTATAATCTAATCCTTGTTCAATAAAAATATTTTCTGAATGAGAGGGACAGAGAATTGAGCTAGCATCTGAGGATGAAAAAGGTTGAAAACCATCGAGATAAAACATTTTGTTTTTGGACTTCCCCATCCCATTATCAGATCCTCTATGCATTTGATTGAGCAGCAATTTGAAAAAAATGGTAGACCTATAAATTCCCACTGTTGTACATCCAGCTGTCTGCTTGTCTGTCTTTCCTTAATTAATCTTGAGAATGGTGTTATATAAATGAAATTCAAGACCAGATATTGGAAAGCTTAGGGCAGGAGGTCTCAATTAACTATATATGAACTTCTGAAGCAAACTGGAAGTCACATTATTTTAATTCAAAAATTTTCTCCTGAAGGAGTTAATGATGGCACGATTCTATTGTTAACAGAAAAGTATGATGTACAGGTGCAAGACAGTAAGGTACTAATTTGAGGTGGAGAGCATATATTTTAAATTGAATAAATTGAAAATACGATTAGAAATTGGAGTTTGGCATTCTGATTATATCAGAATAAATAATTGCTTGTTCAAAATGCATTTCTAGATGTTGACTCCTGTACTTTATAGTGTTTTCATA